ATTTGGTCTGTTCGGTTCGGATTAATAGTATCTGCGGTTCGGTTTCGGGTAGTTAATTAGACTGAAAATAACCGATCAACCCGAACCGAATTCACCCGAACCGACCGAACCCGCCCGATCTGACAGCTCTAGGTAGACCTATCACTTCTAAAGATAAAAATCCTTGTAAATGAAAAGGAGTAAATACTCAAGATGGAGAATTCAAGGTTATTAAGTTTCTTGAAGAACCTTTGCAAATAACAGATCCGGACATAACAGAAAATCAACTTCCCGGAAAAGTTCAGGTACTTGAAAGTTTTGAAATCTCAATTAATTATGTTATAAGGGGACAAAAGTAGAACTGATGTACAACAGAAGTCGGCGATAGACTTGCCTATGCTGCAACAGTTAATATTATAAATGAAAACGAGGATCAAGAACGATGGTCTGTAGATGAGTACAGACGAAGAAATGATTGGCCAAAACGGAAATACACTATTCAATCAGAATTAAATTCATTGGCAAAATGTAAGGTCATTGGACCAATAATGTGCACACCTGAAGATGTGCAACCGGTAGGATTCAAATGGGTATTTGTGCGAAAAAGAAATGAGAAAAACGAAATCAAGCATTATAAAGCACGTCTCGTCGCACAAGGTTTTTCCCAGCGACCGAGCATTGATTATGAGGAGATATATTATCCCGTGGTTGATGCAATACTGTTTCGTTATTTGTTATGTCTGGCAACAAGTGAAAGATTAGAAATGCATCTCATTGTTGTAAAAGCCTATCTATATGGGTCACTTGATAATGAAATTTACATGAAAATCTCGGAAGGATTTCAGATCCCTGAAGGATTTGTTTCTCGAGAGGTTTATCCAATTAAATTGTGTAAATCTTTGTATGGCTTAAAACAAGCCAGAGAAATGTGGTATAACCGCCTTGGTGAATATCTGATAAAGGAAGGTTATTTAAAAGATGTAGATCTGAGTTTGTAATTAGTGCAGTTTATGTTGACGATTTAAATATGATTGGGACTCCTAAAGAGCTCACTAAAGCTGCAAATTACTTTAAGCAAGAATTTGAAACGAAAGACCTTAGAAAGACAAAATTTGTCTTGGTTTACATTTTGAGCACACTGGAAGTGGCATCCTTTTACACCAGTCTGCTTATACAGCTAAAGTTCTTAAACATCACAATCTACTAGTTTAAATACTATGTTCGTACTTCAAGTAAACAACATAATGCCAGAAAATCAGAAGATCAGAAAAAGGCTACCTATTGGCCAGCAGGTTACTACAAATATATCTTAGTAGTAAACTCATCATTAGTTGAGAATCATATTTCAGATTGAACACAATTTGCTTCAATCTGGCAAAGAAGTTCAATTTCACAACCCAATAATATAGTAATGGATCAATGACTTCTTGAGGGTTCGGTTCTTAAAGGCTTCAAGGCTGAAGCCCAGAAAAACTGGGTTTATATTAGCAATTGCCTCTTCAAACATCTTTAATCTGTCAAGAATACGTTTCATTTTTTCCAATCTACTGTTATAGTATAAAAATATTATTCCCTTTACCTTTTAAAAAAATACATCTCAGTTTTGAAATTTTCATTTAAATAATTTCGGAACAAATTACAGAACTCAAGATGGACTAATACATATTTCAAAAGTTAACGTGAATTATTTTATTAGGACAAAATGATCAAGGAGTAGCAAGTTTATATAAGAATTCAAACGTAACATTAAATAGTAAATATTAGTGTTCGTACTATACGAGATTATAATCAATCATCAGTGTCATGAGTGACGCTTATTGATGGGAATCATATAGCCTTCCATGGTGGTTCTCCTGGTGAGCGGAATGAGCTAGTCCTTCATTCTAGTTTTGGGATGCCAAGTTTCTTTTGTAGATCAATCAAGGAAGAAAGGATGGATCTTGACTACCTATGTGATAGGGAGTTAGTTCAAGCAAGCTATGATCAAGAAGATGAGAATGTCATTAACTTTGGGGTTCAAACCAAAGGAGATGATTCACTCATGGAAATAAGTGCTGAAGAGTATCAAGGGAGTTTGACTCTAGGTGCTCCATAAAGATCATTGATCAAGCTAAGTGAGAAGAGTCATTTAGGTTCTTGAATGGACGACCTAATTGATCAAAGTGTTCAAGATTAAGTCCATTCCTACAAATTGGATAGGGTGCAAACTATCTCAATTGTTTCAAGTATTTTTCCTATCTTTTGGGAGTCAATAAAGAGAATTCTACAAGTTTTGGAGTAAATTAGAGTTTCTACAACTTAAGGGGCGCAAGAGCAATATTTCACTTTTTGGAAGGTCAAGACATTTTACTTCAAATACTTGGAGCTGAATTTCGAAGTTAGAGTTTGTCTAAGTCTAGGAGTTTCATTTTCGAATTTATTTAGTTAGATAAGCCATGTAGGCTGAATTAAGCTAGAGTTTTTTTTGTTTAGGAATCTTAGATTCCTTCTAATTATTATCCTATTTGAGGATAAGTCATTTCGATAAGGTTTCCTAGATTTTAGATAGAGTCAAAGAGATTAAATACTCTTCTACTTCTACTCCTGCGAGAGATAAGAGTAAAGAATCCTAGTTGGTCTTCTTTTTAAGTACTTTGTGACCAAGAAAGCTTGCCTATAAATAGAGGCATGGCCGAAGATTCAAGGTACCCTTGAGTGGTCATTTTTGTTGTCTTTCTAATGAAAGGTTTTCCTTTGAGGAATTTTTGTTAAATGGTGTGTCCATTTTTCATTTGTCAAGTATGATTTAACCAAGAGGGTTTTCATCTTGTCTTGGATCTTTTGATCTTGCAGAAACCGTTTTATTCAAGTATGCGCGACCCTGGCCCAATATATGTGTAGATCTTAGAAATGTTTGTATCTGAAAAAAAAAATTTATATTTGGCCCGATATATTTTAGAAATTTTTGTAGAATTTAGAAATGTTTTATAAGTGTGATCATAGAAATGTTTGTATTTGGCATAAAAAGAAATTGTGTTTGGTCCGGTACATTTTAGAAATGTTTGAAGATTTTAGAAATGTTTTATAAGTTTTACTTTTTAAATATAAATAAACTTGATCAAATATATGTCTTGAAGTAAATGCTAGACAAAATATGAAAGCATGCCAATAAGTTTAAATATTAGTAAGATAATTTATTGATGCTCCATTGGTTGTACCAAATCAATACTTAGTTTTGGAATTTATAATAGCTTTGTAGTAAGCTTCCTCCCAAGGGTATACGCTTAATTGTTGGAACTATTTCTTCCAAAAGTTTATAGGTAGTAAAATATCAAAAATATGATTTTGAAACTGGTTAATTGTTGAAACTGGTTGATCACAAATATGAGAATGAAAATAATGTAAATTTGCATAGGTCCCAAGTTATAGCAAAAAAGAACTCACCTCACCATGACAAATTAAGGAAAAAAAAAAGAAATTAAAAGATAGCCCATTAAAAATTGAGAAATTTATTTGTATAAAAACACAAATAAATGTAGAAACATCATTCCTTCCCTCTCCGCCTCAAATTCATAAAAGGCTTCCCCATAAATTAATTAGAAGAAGTGACATGAACTATTTATATGATGAGGAACTAAAAAAAGTCCAAAAATCAAATCCAAAAAAATATATTCTTGAAAGCCCGAACGCAAAAAAAAAAAAAAAACGCGCTTCATTTGCAAATAAAATAATAATAATAACAACAACAACAACAACAATAATAATAATAATAATTGGTCAATTGGGAGTATGAAACAAAATCAAAAGCAATTAAACAAAAAAACAAACTTCATAATTGACCATATACGAAAAAAAAACCAAGACTCCATAATTAAAAAAAAAAAAAACCCACTCTAATTGAATGAAAATATAAAAAAAATTAAAAAAACCACATTATGTAACAAAAACCCAATTAATGAATTCAATCCAAACAGAACTAAAATCATACAAAAATTCTAGGTTAACTAACCATATAAGAAATCACATCATATTACCTGACAACGGCTACAGTAGCTGTAACAGATGGACGCATAAAAATAATAGTAATAACACTATTCTTGAACGGGAAAAATAAAAAATAATAAAAGCCAAACAAATGATCTGTTGAAATAAAATCTTTTAAATTTTAATACCTGTAATTGCACCACCACAACGGCTGAAGCAAGATCAATGAGAATTAATTTTTTTCCCCTTTTTGTTTATATAGAGAGGTAAAGAGAATATTTTTTGAAATCGAAATTTTATCCGATTAGGATGTAATTGATGATCACTAATGAAAAGATTGAACATGTTAATTGGAATGGAGTATATTTCACCACATATTCTCAATTGATGATTGATGAGAATTTTTTTTTTTTTTTTTTTATTGTGGGAAGGGATTGATTAGGGAGTCCATTGTGGTAGAGATGGGGATGAGGATTTGGGTTTTTTATGAACCCCTGATTTTTCTTTTTTTTTTGGCAAAAATAGGAGGTGTAGGTGGATTTAGACTGCATTTACCTTTTAAGTCTAGGAGATGTAGAAATAAAAATTTATTATAAAAATATAATGTGAAAATACCACATGGCAAATAGTGGTACTTTCTCTTAAGTGTGGTTTTTGTTTCTAATATAGTAAGATATAATGATATTTTTAAAAAAGAGATATTGGACATTGACAAGCTAATGTCGAAAGAGGCCCATCATCCATACTCCTATGGGGCGGCCCAGCCCTTGGTTATTTTATTTATTTGTTTATTTAGTATTTAATATTTTTCGCTTCGTTAAGAACGGTTGTACACTACAGTACTAGAATAATTTGTTTTGTGTAATTTCGGTGCAAACCATGTTTGCATATCATCATCACCATCATCCTCAACCTCGATCTCATCGAACCCAAAACAACAACAGTATCATCATCATTACTCCTATAACGTAATCAGATTCTATTGCTAGACATTACTTAAGAGACTTAGCTCCAATTCTCCATTTCTATTCAGAAAAAAAGCGGTGACTGAAGTAACCATGGCAGCTCTTTCAAGTTCTTCCTTCCTTGTGTCAAAGACCCCATCTGCTGGTACTTTCTTTCACCATTGATTATAAAATTCATAATGCTTTTGTTTACCCTTCTGGGAAATTTTTGTTTTGGATTTTCAGTTACAAGGAAGGGAATTCAATTAACGAAACCCCCCATTGGAAAGAAAAGGGGAGGAAAAATAATTCCTTTCTAAGTTTTTATTCATTGGGATATAAGTTTTCCTTTTTGTGGGCTCGTTATGTCAGTTCATTCCTTGATCATGATGCATGATGCGCGTTTATGTTACTTGCTAGGGAGCCATTAAGGAAACCCCAAAAGGGAAAATTCTTTATGCTTTTTGATTGGTTCTAACAATATTTCGCTCTAATGGGTTATTACTGATCTTTGAGGTTTTTACTTGTTTTTCATATTTGTATTGAAATTTAAGAACAACATGGGTTTATTGCCATTTTTGTTTGGAATCTTGTAAATTTGGCTTCGGGAAATTTTAAGGTTCTGTTAGTTGATAAGTATCACAGATTTCGAAAAAAAAAAGAAAAAAAATGTAACTTTTTCTTTCCTTGTTTTCTTTGTCTAATAGATGAAAGTTGTAGGGTTTGATTAATTTTTCTATGATATGCTAGCAACTGTCATTCAATGCTGATTAAAGAGTTCATCTATGTCTTGGAAATAAAGCTGGCACATAAATTGAAAAAATTCGGATGAAATGTTGAGAACTGGGCAATTGTATGATAAAATGCTGAAAAGACATTTGCTTTTTGGTCTGTAACCCACCCTGTTTGTGCAAATTTTTAGAATTGCAGAGTAAAAGATATAATAGGTTTATTTTGGCTTATGGAAGCTAGGCATTCGTATTTTGTGAAGCATGATGAAATTTCTTAATCAGAAAGTTAGTCGCATCATCGCTACTTCATTTTTTTTTTTATTTTGTTTTTCATATTAATTTCCCTGTAGTTTGTGTTTTGGTTCCGCAGATATTACCTCTGTAACTGAACTCTCTTTGATGTTTTAGGCTCCCCTTTGAAGGCAGCGGAGCAACGTATCGGGAGTTTGGCTCCCAACAACATCTCGCTTGGACTGAAGCATTCTGGGAAGTCTTCCATCTCCAAAAAGGAGCTGACTGTTAATGCTAGCTATGGGTATTGTCTTTAGTCTCCCAATTTATTATAGGTTTTCTTTTGTTTTCCCTGTGGGCTGCTTGTTTTACATGAGCTTTCCTGTATTCCCTTTGAAAGTTAGGTTTTCACGTAACATCTACCTTTTTTCGTTGTCTCTTGAGGTCCGCAATATTATATTGTGTCAACTTGTATCTACTGTATCCCATCCTCTTAAGAAGATGCCATTTCTTTTTAAATTTTTTGATGATACGGTGTATTTTTGAGTGATCTGCTTGTGATGTGTGCATTATAGGAGAGATGAACAATATCATGTGTGACCCAACTACTGATAAAATGCCCCAGTTGCATTACCGGGAAGGGTTTCCATTGAGAAAACAGTACAAAAGCCAATTACGAAATCTTGATATAAGTATTGAAGTGAAGAAAAATTGGTATAGATTTCTAGGGAAGGTTTCATAGTTTTATTCCTCTATGAGTATAAATCTTAAAATTTAGCATGTGTTTTTCTTATCTGCTTGCAGTGATGGTGGAAAATCTGGTGGTGGGAGCTTCTTCATTGGTGGCTTCATATTGGGAGGAATAATTATGGGGACACTCGGATGCATCTATGCTCCGCAGGTTGTACCTTGTTGAACTATTAGAATGATTTTCGTTCACAAATGATGCTATATCTATGCTCTTTCATAGTACTAACCTGAAAGTTATATTCATTACCATTTTCGAGTAATAGCTGATAAAGGATGTGAAACAAGGAAGAGAAAGTCAACATGATTCTATGTACTTAAGAACGTTTCTTTCTCCCTTTTATAGATTAGCAAGGCAATAGCTGTGGCAAACACTGACAAAAAGGATCTGATGAGGAAGTTGCCGAAATTCATCTATGATGAGGACAAAGCTTTGGAGGTAAGCAATATACATGGATCTTTCAGAATTTAGTAATGGTGAAACCTTGTAAGTATAAAAATAATAATAGCTTTGACAATTCGTTAACTTTCTTTATTAATCTCTACACATTACTTTTCATTTTTATGACAGGCAGTGTAGATTTTAACTTCATTTTATGTTATTTCTTTCTTCCCATAGGTAGGTTTGGATTGGGATGGGTTATCTCCTTTAGTTAGTTATCAGTTATCTGTCTGGCTAGCTTATTAAACCTTTAATGGCTTAAAATGGTTAACTTGCAAAGCTAATGCATCATTTCGGAATCAAGATTTTGTTTTGGTTTTTGTGAATGTTAACGATTTAGAAAGAGCTAAGCTAATTTTGAAATTGATAGTGTGCAGTAACACTGGTGTTATATTTGTTCGATTTTCAGAAACAGCGCAAGAAACTGGAGGCGAAGATCGAGCAACTTAATGATGCTATTGATAATGTATCCAGCCAATTGCGAGCAGAACATTCCCCAAATGGAGAAGATGTGAAGTCTGATGGATATGAAGCTCTTGCATAGAAACTTTTCATCTTGCTGTTTTCCTATAATTGAAACCTTTATCCTAAAAAGGAGGGCTTCTTATTAAACTATGAAACATCTTATTCCAAAATTTAGTACAATCTGGATCCCCATAGTGTACTAAGAAAGGATTCTCAAGTCTCTTTTCTCTTCGTCCCCTTTCCAAATGTTTTGAAGAACTTAATGCATGATGGCTTTAATCTGTGAAGTGACAAGAGTCTTTGAATCTAAATTGCATTTTGCGGCTGAATGGTTAATTCATTATCAGTTAAATGGAATGCTTCTGACATGCAACATAGCTTCAGAACTGGAGTTCTGGATGTCAGCTGATGCTGCAAGAATAAGGATAGTAATAGATTGAGAAAACAATGAGAAAGTGAGTCATTTAGCTTGCATTAAACACAAGTTTCCTTTAATATGCTGTAATCTGCGACGATTGTGATTAGGTGATTTTATCTTTTCATAGATCAATGTTTTGTTAGATTTTCTAATCCACCATCTATGCTATCAATCTTGCAAGTATGTCACCTGTATCTTGGTGGTGTTAAAACATGCATTGACATAAAAATTATGCAGACATTCCACCTGAATTGCCTTCCAAATGGAAGGTGGGACCACTTAAGCCCTTTGATGCAAGCCACAAAATGGCCAAGTTTTCACCACATCCGCATGATGGTCATGGGCAGAAAAAAAGACTCCAAGGATATAATGGATGGTCATGGCTGAAGTTTGTGTCCTTCAAATAAAATATCACCCAAAGGGTTGAAGGGTCATTCAAAAAATTATATGATGGATGTATAAATTTCTTGATGGTGCAGAGTGCATATATGCAAAACTATGATCCATATAATCATCTTATCTTTCATGTATCATCCTCACCACTCATTTCTATAACTCAATAGCAACCAGAATTTTGGCTTTTAGATTTATTTTGCCAATGTGAAGTAGAGAACACTACAGACACAAAACTGTTGTAGTGATATGTGTTGTAAATTAGTACCCATCTGAAGGTCCACAAATATAAAAAGGGAAGGAAGTTGTATCTTTAGTCTCTAGTTTTGCAGCAGCAGCAGCCATGGCAAGCACTAATGCAGCTCTTGTTTCTTCAAGAATCCCAACTAACACTAGAAGGTTTTCTTCCAAGGCCTCCTCCATCCCTACTCAATACTGCTTCTCCAAGGTCAATCTCTCATCCACTTCTTTTCATTTTCTTGGCTTCTTTAAGTTGCACTTTCCATGTTTATTTGCCATGGAACACACTCAAATACTGATCAATTAACCTCTGCAACTGAGCAGAAGCTTCAAGTAGATGAATTCTCTGGCCTTCGATCGAGTGGATGCGTTACATTCGCTGCCGGTTCCAGGGAAAACTCTTTCTTTGATGCTGTGGCTGCCCAACTCACTGTTAAGGTATTACTAAGCTGATCACTTACTCAATGCAGACTGTATTTTCTTTTACTTATCATGTTTTGGAGTTCTTTTAGCTGTTTATGTTTTAGTCTAAAACTATAAAATAGGGAAGCTTTAGTATGTTGTTGATTTAACTGCTAGTTATAGATAAGGGTAGTATGGATCAGGATATCAATCTATCGAGTTGTCACTGTGTTAAGATTGCATAAATTCATTACCTATTAATCTCCAAATAATAAAAGAAGAAATCGTACTTACCATGTAAGGGGCTCCGCAATCATTTCTGCTTACCATTACTTGCTGTATACTGAATATGTTTCTGGTGTTTTTTCCTATATAAGGGGTTGAATTTGCTTGGCAAACAGAATGCACAATAGGGTAACCTTTTCCAAGGATTAGATATATATACATAATTAATGAATGGAATTGATCTTTCTATGGGATCACAAACTCCAGTGTATGGCGTTGTGCTAATCATTTATGGATCTATATTTGTTGCTGTATTTCTGATATGTTGTTTTCTTTGCGCCTTAAAGACTGCAGGATCAGTACCATTTAAGGGAGAAACTGTGGCCAAATTGAAGGTAGCAATAAACGGTTTTGGACGCATTGGTAGGAACTTCCTTCGGTGCTGGCACGGCCGCAAAGATTCACCACTTGAAGTAGTTGTTGTCAATGACAGCGCTGGTGTCAAGAATGTGAGTCAACCTAAACATTTTAGTTTTTACAGACTATTACTGTGTTAAAGTGATCATTGAAGCATAACTATCTACTGTTCAAAATTTCAGGCAGCTCACTTGTTGAAATACGACTCCATGCTTGGGACATTCAAAGCAGATGTTAAAGTTGTGGACAATGAAACCATTAGTGTTGATGGGAAGCCCATTAAGGTTGTCTCAAACAGGGATCCTCTGAAGCTTCCTTGGGCTGAACTTGGCATTGATATTGTTATCGAGGTATCTCCTTCTATATCTCATTTCCTAAAGCTTTAGAACCATCCACGGAATGCCCAGTGTACTAGACTTTTTCTAACCTATGAAGACCAAGCATTAGTAACCATTTAGCCGCAAGATGAAACAATTTGAAAGAAAAACCAACATCTAGATCAATCATAAAAGTGGACAAAGTCCTAAGGCGTGGATGTAAGTTCATGACTCGTGGATCATGCTTTCATTCGAAGTATAAGCATGTTATGAATTCCTTAAAGCATAAATCATCAGCATATATTCATCAATGAACCATGCATGATAGAATACTGAAAAGCTGATAAATCTCTAAACCATATATTCTAAATCTTTGTTCCTTAACTTTCTACTGAAGTTGATCATTGCCTGATTCCAAATGTATGCTTATGCTGAATGGAATATGTGAAACAATGCAGGGAACCGGTGTTTTCGTTGATGGACCGGGAGCAGGGAAGCACATCCAAGCCGGAGCTAAGAAAGTAATTATCACTGCACCAGCTAAGGGTGCTGATATTCCAACTTATGTTGTTGGGGTAAACGAGCAAGACTACGACCATGATGTCGCAAACATTATAAGGTGACTTTACTTGCATATGTTTGAATTAGTAAAACTGTTTATAAGGTCAGCACCTGGAAAGAGCATAACTTTTATTTCCGTGCACATGCAAATTGGTTGGAAAAGGAGCTTCATTACTTCTTTTTTTTTTTTTTTCATTTTTGCAGCAATGCTTCTTGTACCACCAACTGTCTGGCTCCTTTCGTGAAGGTCATGGATGAAGAATTGGGTGAGTGTAGATATTCATCATAAACAATATTATCCGTAAAAGGACTCAGTTTTCTGATCTGTTCGGGTTTAAGATGGAACAAAACCCAAGTGTAACAAATGTCTCGGCCAAAATGTTCCTGCCCTTGTTCTGTTGTATTTTATAGCTTTTTCTGGAAATGACTTGCTATTTATTGCAAATTTATTTGCAGGTATTGTCAAGGGTACAATGACAACAACACACTCCTATACCGGTGATCAGGTATTGATCCCAATGCACTCAGTCTCAATGTACTAGGATGATATTGAGCAGCTAGCATGATAGTACACGACAAGATTCTGTTACTCTTGAATCTTAAGGAAAACAATGTAATGTTTATGACTTTAATTTGCAGAGACTTTTGGATGCATCACACCGGGACTTGAGGCGAGCCAGAGCTGCAGCATTGAACATAGTGCCTACAAGTACTGGTGCAGCTAAGGCTGTGTCTCTGGTGCTACCACAGCTCAAGGGCAAGCTCAATGGAATTGCTCTCCGAGTACCAACACCCAATGTATCCGTAGTTGATCTTGTTGTAAATGTCGAGAAGAAAGGAATAACAGCTGAGGATGTTAATGCTGCATTCAGAAAAGCTGCCGAAGGACCATTGAAAGGCATATTGGAGGTGTGCGATGCTCCCCTTGTATCTGTTGACTTCAGATGCACCGATGTTTCTTCCACCATCGATTCCTCTTTGACAATGGTCATGGGAGATGACATGGTAAAGGTGGTGGCCTGGTACGACAACGAGTGGGGATACAGGTATAAAATCTGCATCCAGTTAGATAAACAATTCGAATGCATAACACCGAATTTTACCTATTTAATGGGAAAATTTTTCTCGAATTTTTGCAGCCAACGTGTCGTGGATTTGGCCCATTTGGTGGCGTACAAGTGGCCTGGGTTGTCCGTGGGAGGAAGTGGTGATCCATTGGAGGACTTCTGCAAAACAAACCCTGCCGATGAGGAGTGTAAAGTTTATGAAGCTTAATTGAGGTATTTATTGTTTTTTACCCCTAGCTTTCCAAAGGATTTTGTACAAGCCAAAGACAAAATAAACGATGTACTCAGTTTTAGGGCTGATCTCATTAGAGAAATGGAGGCAGAACTCTGAAACAGTAACATGTATCTATATTTGTATGTATAAGAAAGATTAACACATTGCTTTTGTAGCTGAGAAATTTTGAAAGTTACGAGCATTCCTGTCATTTTTTATCTTCTACGTTTTCGCAGAGTCATGTAAACCAATGATTACCTGAAGTGACCAAATTACCTACACTTCAAGGGGAACTGAAGGCATGAAAAACACTTCTGAAGCAAAGAACAAAAAAATAGTTGTAATTTCATGGGAAACCCTCTAGACCAAAACCCACAGAGATTGAACCATGGAAACATTCTAAATCAAACAAGATTGCAAACGCAAATATATCCATCACTTTCAATGTTTGTATGCAGTACAAGTAACAATAATTTCCATCCAGTGAGAGTGCTGAGCGACAGGGTTGCTAGTTTCTTAGTCTTCTTTTCTTTTCTTTTCTTTTTTTTTTCCCATTCAAATATGCTACTTAGAACTGTTTTCTCCATATTCAGATTGCAGTAAACAGCACAAAAAGGAAAGTAATTCATGGCAAAATTAATGATCATTAATTTCCAAACTCTTGTGATGTATGAAGCAACGAAAGTTGTGGCATCACTCGCTAAACATTTACATGATGAAAAAAATAAAAAATAAAAATTCTTGAGCTTGAAGTTCCTGCCTAATCTTTTGATTTTGAATAAAAAAAAGAGTGGTAACATCAGTTCAATGGAATTGAGAAGAAATACACAAAGGACTTCAGAAAGAAGAAAAGGGATACGTTACTCAAATAATAGTAGATAAAGAGCAGCAGCAGCGGTAAGCAATGGTCATTGTTGCTTCTTCCAAATCGACCATAAAGAGGTGCAGAAAATCAATCTCCTGTTGATTGAGTAATGATATTCGATTCTGAAAAGGAAATAGAGAAGATGTACCAGATATAACTTTCAAATGAAGAAACAGATTTATAGATTATAACCTGCTGCAAACTACCCCTATTGGGAGTATAGAAAGAGGTGCAAAATGGATGGATATTTTTCAGAACAAAGCACACTGTGAATCAGAAATCTTCTAATGATCATAAGCATAGTTTATGTTACATACAACATAGGATTTCTCAGCAACATTTGACAGATAAAAAAGATAATGCAATAAATGGATCCTGCTCTTCATCAGTTTTGTGTTGAGCCCCAACCAGCAGGTCCTACAGAGTAAACTGTGACACTTTCACTTGCTCCATCGACAACACTTCCATCACTTGCACTAAAACTAAATAGATCGAGCTACAGCAGTGCGAATTGCAACCCTGGCAAACTTTCCACCTTCATCAGCTGATATGTAGGGAAATTTCTTGGTACAAAGAACACCAGCACCGAGTTCTGAACATTCTCCGCAGGCAAACAGTTTCCCATGATGACGCTTCCCCTCAAAATCCAAGCCGTACAAGCTAGGACCCCTTTTGCCGTCCCACCCAGCAATCAACATTCCAGATTTTAAACCCTTCATGTTACCAGAAGACAGAGAGTCCACCATCCAGTTGAAAACCTCAGCGACAGACCCTCCTGTCCTATTGGCAGGAGACTTCTGAGAAAAACATCACAGTCAGCCTTCCCCCAGTGATACCTAGTGATCCAGCCAATCATGTGAGAATCAAATGCGACCAAGTTCTGGTCAACCAAAGACTCTGATGAATCTGACCGAGCACCTGAATGATCAACAGTAACTGTAAACCATCCATTACAAATAAAGGCCAGAATAGCGTTCCCCTTTTCTTTCTGATAGGGTACATCCTCCAACATAATCCCGGGTCAACACAGGGATGCTACCCTGGCGCCAGCAGGACAGACGGATAAAAAATTCCTTCGAAGTAAAAGTCCTCAGGCGAAGGTTCCAGGTCATTGATATCTCGCAAGGCAGAGTAGCAACTAGCTTATCTTTCACAGCCTTTCTCATCGGTAAGGAGGACTCGGCTCCATGGGAGTCAAGATGGTGTGATTTTGGTCTCATCTTTTCATAATTTCGTAAGGAAATCCATCAGGGATATTGCAGGTCCACCAGGGAGATATTCGTTTTGTCGTTGGAACCAAAGTTTCCAGGTTCAGTGGTGTAGAGGACCCAGGCTTCTCAGCGGATTCATGTTCTGAAAGTCAGATCCATTGATGGAATTCATTGCTGCCACCATGTTGTCGTCCGAAGAGAAGAGTTCAGTCACCCAACGATGTAGAAATCCCTGGCTTTCCCTTTCTTTTTGACCTTCTCAAAGTTAGGTCCACCCGAAAAATTCATGGCTCTCACCATGTCCTCATCCGAGGAAAGGAGTTCGGATCCATAAACATAGGAGTTCATTGTTGTTCTCAGGTTCACTAAATAAAGCCGAGATAATATACCCTGATTGTTTCAGCCTAAGATCGTAATAAAAACCTTAGATTCGAAGATGATAATGGTTTAAGCGTATTTGTGTATACATACATAAGATTCCACCGACCCATCACAAATAATTTATCCTTTTCATATGCACAACATCTTGTAGCATGAAAACTTTCTGCATGTACAAATTGTTGGCTAGAACATCTGACTTAGAAGTAATATAGAATTAATTTATTACCACAAATGACTAGTCTGAACTGCAAGAGTATAGCGGAAACTGGAGAGTATGAATATAATGGTATCACAGCAATTAAACCATTATGATATCAGAAATCAAGTACTCCCGATGAAAGCAAAGCAGTTCTTGCATGTTTAAGGAGTGATTCGGTTTGGTGGAAATGCAACTAACGGTAAACTAAATTACACGAAACCAGATCAACAAGCGAAATTAATGTTTACGAACAGTTAATATTGTACTCTGCAGCTCCATGAAAATTTTAAAGAACTTAACCCAAAGATGCTTACCTGAGCAGAATGTTGTCATGGAATAACTGCCATAAACATCTGTCTGTCACTACTCAAAGTAGCTTCCCAATTTTAAGTCGTGGTAAACATTCCATGAAGAGCATGTCTATTCAAGAGACAACTTAATCATAGTGCAATTAACTAACACCAAGACGTCTCAACTTCTAAGAACATCAAGCAGAAGAGAAAAGTACAGTATTAATCTAAAGTCTAAACGTACTCACATATACTAGCATTAAGTTGATCAAAGAAGGGCAAAAATACCAAAAGTTAACAAAAAATAAAAATTAAAAAAAAATAAAAAATAAAAAAACAGAAGATCAAAGTCAGAAAATTCTGTAAATAGAATACCCTTTTAAGAGAGTTTCAACTTCAATGAATTTGAGCTAAATTACAAAGTACAACTCAACTAATTTTCCTTAAGAAAAAGCACTAAATTTATTGACACAGAAAGATCAGCTGGAGTGAATTACAACAAGCATTTTGACTTGCACGAATGCCAGACAGAATAAAGAGGTGCAAGAAAATCAATAGTCTCAAACAATAATCTTCAGGTATGAATTTCTAGTTTCCAGCTGTGTGTCAAACCCCAAAATATGTCCCAAATAAAAGTAGTTGACTGAAATATAGCTGTTTGAGGAAGTGGTCAGAAAAAATGTACGCCGGAAATAGAATTTCCGTTTTTCATTGTAATGTTCATAAAACGGATTTTCAAATTCCGTTTTTGTAGAATTAGTTGTAATTAGTACTTTATAATACGTTGATTATAAAAACGGAAAACTATATTCCGTTTTTCACTTAACAATTTAGATAGAATTTGCCCGAGCAACCTAAAAACGGAAAATAATTTTTTTTCTGAAACCTAAAACGGAAATCGAAAATCCGTGTGAAGGTTGTATTTTGAATGAAAAACGGAATTTCTATATCCGTTTTTAAACCTAAAAGAGAAAAAAACGGAATCTCTATATCCGTTTTAAACCTAAAAGAGAAAAAAAACGGAATTGCTATATCTGTTTTTAAACCTGTAAACAGAGAAAAACGGATTTTCGACATCCGTTTTTAAACTAGTAAACAGAAAAAAAACAGAACAGGTCTGCAGTTGCAAACCTGTTCAAACCTGTTAAAAAACAGTTAGCAAACAGCACCAAAACAACACCAACAGCAGCCTCAACTCAAATAACCCTTGAATTCACACATTAATTCAACAAAATATTTCAATTGTAACATGTTTAAATAAAAGACTACATCACAAAATATTGATCAAAAGTAGATTATCAACAAAATGATGCCATTACAATTCCTTCTCGGGTTGGGCAATGGATGGCGTGTAGCGATTAACTTTCTTTAGTTTTCTACGCGGCCTTGCTAACGCCAAAGGTAGACTAGATTCTACATCCATATTTGTAGATTCACCTTCTTGGTTGGCTTCGTCCTGATTTTGGGGGGTTGGAGTTTGAAACAAGTCGGCATTGAGTTCAAAATCAAATTCTGGTTCTTCTTCTTCAACAATTTTCTGCCTTCCTCCTCCAATCCCACGGTGAGGAATGTTTCATTTGTGAACTTTGCCAACCGGTTGAGAAGGTTGTGGTTGAAGATCAACAAGTGATTGTGTGGGTATCAAAATTGGCATCTCATGTGCTCCAAGGGATAAAGCACTCATAGAATGAGAAGTGAGTTCAAGAAGGAGATTCGTACAAACTGAATTTTGGCAGACATCTTCTGATTTCTTGTAGTCTTCTACCTTTTTGCAGATGTCGCCCAAAGCATCAGCCTAAAATCAATTTAACCATTAAACATATAATTAAAAAAAATAACAAACCTGAAAATTCTTTTTTTTTAAAAAAAAGAAACCAGCTTTAAAAAATAAAAGAGAAGATTAGAGATAAAAACTAAAAGAAAGAAGAACAGAAACCCAGATGTCCAGAAAACAGAAAGGAAGAACATTTCAAGATGTCCAGAAAGAAGAACCCAAAACTAAAAGAAACCCAGATGTCCAGAACTTAATCACCAAGAAAGGAAGAACATTTCAAGATTATTTTAACAAATTTTAGATGCATTCAAACCTGCTGGCGGATTGAAAAACGGGAGAAATAAATGCAAATTATTGTAAGGAAAAAAAAACAAAGGACTTGTCAATTTAAAAAAAAAAAACAAGTTTACAATTTAAAATAAAATTTAAAAATGGAACTTGAAAGCAGAAAACAACAGGATCCACAAGCACCAACAACACCATTTGTACAGAATATACCACCATGTAGCACTAACAACAAATCATACACAATGAAGATGCGAATGCAGTTATTCTCAAGAAAAAAAGAAACCAGCCTTAAAAAAAAAGAGTAGAGATAAAAAGGAAAATACTTACATAGAATTTTGCACGATCCGAATGTTCACGATACCCTTCCTCCTGAAAGTTGTACTTATTAGGATCCTTGATAAATTTGATGGTATTAGTTTCATACCATGGGAGATAATCATCATCGGTTGAGGATTGAGCACTCGAAGACCCAGCCACAATGGAGTCTGCCCTGTTGTTCCATTTTTCAATGTATTCACGATGATGTAACTCCCAATTGTTTCCACCTCTTCCAGTCCTATCATACTTGTGCAACTTTTCTCATTCTTGGAAACCAACGACCATTGGTTGTGGTGGGATGAATTGTTTGAAGCCAAATTATCGCATCACACGGTCAACTTGATGCGGTTCAATGACATCCCAGCAAATTAGCCAAGTGTTGGATTGCCAATGATCTCGACCCCGTGTACATCTTTCAGGTATCTCCACTCCTTCATAAGGTTGCCAAATAAACTGAAATAAAAAACAGAACATACAATCAAGGCTGTCAGAATAGAATACAAAAGGAATGTAGACATTTTGCCAAAAGAAACAGAATACAATAGAAAATGCTATTTTTTTTCTTTTTTTCTTTTTTCTATTGTTCTTTTTTTTCTTTCTATTTTTTAAGATTACATAAAGAATGGAACAAAAAGGAAGCAATGTCCTAATTAATTGTAAGAGGCAGCTTACAAAAAGAAAAAGGAAGGATGGCCTAATTTGCTTTATTATAACAGATTGTTAAAAAAAAAAAAAAAAAGGCAGCTTTCTTTGTACATTGTAAAGTAGCATATTAACTAAATCACATTTCTACAAAAATAGTGCAAAAGCCATTTATTCATTAAGTTCAAATTCATTCAAAAAGAATTTAATCAAATATAAAATTAGAAACCCACAAATCGACATATTCTTCAGTGCGCTGATTATCCCCTTATGCCGATCTGATATAAGACTCGTAATTCGGTCGTGTACAACATGAAACCTCAAATTACAGAGAAAAAATGACCAGCTTTCCTCGCTCTCCTCATCTACAATTGCAAAAGCAATGGGCAGGATATGGTTGTTAGCAGTTTTCACCATTGCTACAAGAAGCTTACCCTTATACTGACCGCGAAGGTGTGTGCCATCAATACTCACAACAGGTTGACACATATGAAAGGTCGCAATAGAAGGACCAAATGCCCAGAAAACATATTTGAAGACCCTATATTCATCATTTTCAGTCCCGGGCTGCCATTTCCACTCAACAACTGTGTTGGGATTAGATTTCTGTAGTGCAGCCATATACCTATCATAAATACAATAGAGTCCAATAAACAGTCCAATAATCCAAGAATTATAACAGTGAATTATAACAGTGTGCATTTGAAAAACCATGGCAATTCGGAAGCTAATAAGTTTTAAATTTTTACCATGGCAATTCCGTGAAATTGTCGATCCAGCTACCATAACACGCTTCGATAGCTTTTCTTCTTGCATGCCATGCCTTCTTGTACTTCACATCCACCTTATAAGCTTCCTTTACAGCATCCCTGATTGATTTCACCTTAAAACCAGGATCATTTTCAACACTACGCCTGATAAGTCTGGCTATTAACTTCGACCTCAAATTGCGATGGTCATTATGTCTGGTTACTCCAACGGAATTGTGACGATCAACCCAGGATACAATTTGCCACAAACCATTCTTCTTCAAAGATGCACGCATCCTCCACGCACAAGTAGATTGCCCAATTGGAGTTTGCATTCTTCTTGTCGCGCACTCTGCAGACCATGACTTACGTCCAGAAGAAAGAACATAAAATTGCCTGTTGTGATATATGTTCCAGTCTTCGATAGCTGCCTCAACTTCATCCCTGTTGTTGAAACAGGTATTCAAATCAAGGTTTTCTCTATCACCTTTCCACATCTTAACTTCAAATTCATCTCGATCCAGTATGCTATTTTTATAATCACTAATGTCTGAATAAACATGCTGACCAAAACCAGACGTAACTAAGTTCTGCACTGCTTCTGCTCCTGCATCTGCTTCTTGTTCTTCATCTTCTAAGTCGGTTTCGTCAGACACATCAGTTTGGTAGTCAACTTCTTCTTCGCTTTCTACATAAGTCCCGTCTGATGCATCATCCTCATCTGATGAATCAAAGTCATCATTTTGACCCCCACCATGTCCCTCTGCAACGTATCCATCGCCGCTGCTCCTGCTAAGCCCTGCTTCTGCATGTTGAGAATTATTCATCCAATATGGCTGGTCCTGTTGCGACACAAATGTAACATCCTGTTTTTGTCCTGACAGATCTAACAAATTTTGGGCATGCACCGTGTCTTCATTTTCAACATATAGCTTCAAATATGATGAACCTGAAAAATAATAAATAATTTCCACTGGCGAGTCGTCCGTAATTGTTGCGCTTCGTCTTACACCGTTGTTTTCAAACAACAAGTTAATTCTCAGATTTACATAATTTCTATCCCAACCCGCTTTATCACAAATTCTGCCCAAAAACTCAGAATACGACAGCTTCCGCTCAATAACTAATGTCGCATCTGCCCTGTTATCAAATGTTCTGATCGTGCCATCTTCCACATATTTATTTCTCCAGTACACATTAATAAAATATGGACCATTCCATGCCATTTTTCTGTCAAAAATAAAATATTTCTTAAAAAAGCAGTCTCTACATTTTCATAAACAGTACAATCATTTTCAAATAATACCGTATAAATTTCCATAAATCGTCCAACATTTAAAAAACTGTACAATCATTTCCAAATAAAACAGTCCGTATTTGCATAAACAGTCCAGCATTGTTTCATAAACAACCCAGCATTTAAAAAAAACCCAGATTTCCATAAGCAGTCCATCATTTAAAAAAACAATCCAATATTTTCCTAATAAAAAGTTTAAATTTCCATAAACAATCCAATGTTTCAAAAAACAGTCCAAATTTCCTAATATAACTCTCCATATCGAATTTCCTAATAAATTCAATATTTTCATACTAAACGTTCTAATTCGAATTTAATAAGACCAATAATTAATTAATTTAATACAATACGATTAAAGGAAACAAATAACATCAACGCTATACTAACCTTGACGATAACAATTTTCAGGCGTAAAAAACAGGTTCAAACTGCAGACGTCTTCATATTTTTTTCTTCCCTTTCAAAACTTTCCAGATCTGGTAACAGTGTCAATTCTTCTTCATATATAAACCAAAAAACGGATTTTAGAATTCCGTTTTTTGATTAAAGCCTGCAGCACCTCTGATTCGTACAGATTATCAGTGTCAGATTATCAGTATCAGACCAATAATGCAGCTGACAACCTGATAACAGAAAAACGGAATCCCGTTTTCCGTTTTTTGAATGACATGAAAAATGGAATTGCGTCTTCCGTTTTTGTTTTGATAAGAAAACGGAATTCCAGTTTCCGTTTAACATTTCCCCTAATATTTCCTATCTTTTTTTTCCGAGCGAAATTGGGTTTTTCAATTTTAATTATTTTAAAATTCAAAATAAGGAAACGGAAATTGAAAGTCCGTTTTTAAATTATAGTTAGAAAAACGGAAAATCAGTTTCCGGCAAATGTTTTCATGACCACAAAAAAAAAGTTAAAATATAAATTTCTGCCGTTTTTTTTTTTTTGGGTCTATTTAGGTAAATGGGCCTTCCAGCTGTATATAGTTCCTCAATAGCCATCATCAAGATCATTGGATTCTGGTTCATCAACTTCAGTTCCCCAATCTTCAAGATCATCCTGAATGTAGAGCTTTAGATCTGAATTCCCATAATCCTCCACCTGTACGTCCACAATCTTTTTCACCAACCCTACTACAGTTTCAGAACAAGCAAACACCTTGATCATTTGAAGGGTGAAAATATTTTCTAGACAAGTAGGCATGTCTTCCAATTCTTGACACAATTGCAATTCCAACTTCTCAAGACACTGAAATTGATCATCAGAACCACTCCATGAGCGGAGCGTTAGAAAGTACAATCTCAAGAATCGAAGTTTCGGGAAGTCTTCTGGTTCCATACTCCATGTTTCCCCTTCAATGTTTAAACCGCCCAATTTGAGGACTTCCAGGTTTGGCAGTTTACCAATGCTTAACAAACTGCTCCCACGTATATCAAAGCACCCCAAATTCAATTTCTTTAGACTATCTGGAAAACTAAATGCAAACATAGAAGCGCATGTTCTATCTGCAAAGATACATAGTGATTCTAGTTGAACCAAAAGGTTAGGAACTACAATATTGATAAGACTTTCTCCATGATTATCAACTTTGTTGCGTCCTCCACCCTTATCGAATTCGTCGAGTAGAAATGACAACCGACGAATGTTTGGAAACTTTTGCATGATCCCTTCCATGTTGTCCATGGAAGAAATGATCAAACCAGAAATCCTATCCAACTCATATAAATTAGATGAGTTGTCAAGATTTTCCATGGGCAAAACAGCTTTGGAGGGTCCCCTTACATAAAAATGCTTTAGTTTCCCTAGATTCCAGAAACTCTCCGGCAATGCAATGCCCATTTCTTTCTTTGTATTGATGATAAAAGTTTCCAAATTAGAAAGGTTACCTATCGATGGCGGAACCTCCAACATTTCACCTCCAATTCCAAGGTAGGACAACAGAACAAGTAGGCCAATTTCACTAGGAATCCCGTGGGTGAGAAAAATTTTCTCCAAATCCAACACTCTCAGGAGTTGGCCAATGTGCATCATCTGTGAGATATGTCGCATCCCTACATTCTCTTTGAACTTACTGAAACGAAGAGAATGGATACGAGAACAATACACCTTCGACTCCACAAGATGCTTTAAATGAGAGTGAATGCACAACCTCCGTGCATTGTGTGGCTCATTGAAGTCTGACAACTCATTATATCCTCCTTCTAAGAAGTGGAAAAGAAATTCATCTTTGGATTTCTGCAAACAAAAGTCATAAATCAGGTCATGAATGCGAAATGATTTCACTCTACCATCAAATTTTCGTTGGTTAACCAAGATTAGGCTTCTACAGATTAGTTCTTCAAGATACTCTTCAGCAACATCTGATAGGCGCTTCTCCTCAACTTTCCGAACAAACCCTTCCGCGATCCATAATTGCACCAATCTCTTGACTGAGATCTGTTCATCCTCTTCAAATGCTGCCAGATAGAGAAGGCAAGGCTTTAAATGCTCTGGTAGATTTCTGTAACTCAACTCCAATGTGTCCATGCAGCGCCTGGATAAATCGCCTGAACTTAACGTTTCCAGAATTTCCATCCAATCATCTGGCTTTCTGGATTTAAGGAGTCCAGCTATAATGACAACGTTGAGAGGTAATCCATCACAAATGTCAGCAATTTTCATCCCAAGATCACCTAGCTCTGTGGGCCAACCATTTCCACCAAATAACTGCTTTCCCAATAATTCTAGGCTCTCATGCTTATTGAGCTGTCCAAGTTCAAGCGGTTCCTGAGCAACATCATGATAACGACTTGTTATCATAATTCTGCTTCCCACAAAATCGTCAGGGAATGATTCTAGCAAACTCTCCAAGACTTCAGCTCCCCATACATCATCCAAAAAGATGAGATACGGCCTCCGCTTCAAATTGCGCCTCAGCTTGTCTGCTACATCATAAACCGTCATATCAGTCTCAACAGGAGTAATCTTTTTCGAGGAAACCTGGTTTAAGAGGTCAATCAGCATCTCATTTTGTCAAATGATTGTGAAACTGTAGTGAATGCACGAACAGAAAAATTGTAAGTGACAGAAGAACTGTTATAAATTTTTTCCGCCAATGTGGTCTTGCCTATTCCTGGCATGCCCACAATGGCCACAATCTGCAACTTCTTGGGTCCTTTTAAACGGTTGATTATTGAGTCTGCCTCATTATGGAAGCCTACAACTTCTTTGGACATTGAGGGATTTGCTGATTGCACAAGGCTCTGAGATGCAGTTACTTTCTTCACTTTGATTTCTGGTAGTCTGATCACTTTGATTTCAGACTTAATACAGTTGATTTCTTCCTTGATAGAATCAAATGAAGCTGACAGAGAACTTGGAAGATCACCGACCATGGTGTAGTCGACGAGGTCCTCTACTTTGTATGCCACCTCCAAAACACGATCCCAAAGAGGTTGGAACTTCTCCTGGTCCTGGCGCAACTCCACACTGTCTCCTAAGAAAGATCTTAAGGAGACAAATTCTTCTCTAATAGTTTGAGCACGGATCTTAGCAGTTGGTTCAACATCACAAGCCATATGCTCCATCAATTTTTCTAATAAAAAATCAACAAAAGCCAATTGACTATACATTGATACCTGTGAACCTTTCTCCCCAAGTTCTGCCAAAATCATCTTGACTGCTTCTAACAAATAGTGAAGAGTCCCAAGGTCAAACTGTCCATCTTTCTGATACAATGAGCAAATGAAAACTCCAGCATTACATACCACTGCAACAATGTCTTCCTTGATTTTGACATCAAGTTCGTTTTGCTGTTGCCACTTGAGAATCATTTTTCTCAAGGATCTTAAGCCTTCAAGTAGCTCTTGCAATTGGTCCTTCAGAACAACACCAGCGCCCGTGATGTTAAATGCTAGGACCTAGAAGAACTTCGCCGTCCGTGTCTTGATCAGTGGAAGCATCAGACAACCGTCTTGCAAACTTTGAGCTCTTCAGGGCGTCAGTGTAAGCCTCACAGAGTTCAGGATCAATCGGTTTGATACTCTGCACCAATGTTGAAGTCGCCAATGATATTTCTTCAACACTTTCAGCATCACAAACAAAAGCTCCGCGGGTTAGAATACATGCAGCATTGACAGCCACGTCTCTGGCATGAGACGACAGATCTTCTCCGAGTTCAACATTACCCTGTGTCTGAGTGACAAAAAGGATAAGATTTTTCAGGAATTTCATCTGCTCTCCCAAGGATTTCATTGCATCTAGAATAACATCAGAGATGGGAGGTTCAGCTGGTAATTTCCGAAGCTCCACGAGATTTTCCAGGAAGGAGTTGATGATCTCCAGAACCTCATCTTTCGTTAGTGAGCTCGGCTGTAGCGTGGTATCCAAGAGAGTATTGTACCATCCATCCATCTCACCGAAGAAAGAATCAGCTTCTTCGTCAACGATATCAGTGTCAGTGGGATCTTCATCACCAGGGCTGCGATCAGGACGACTTTTTGTATCCTTTTCAAATTTGCAAACACTTTCCTGAAGCTTTGTCAAGAAAGATATGAGATATTCATTGTCGCCCAACTTTCTTGCAGAAAAAACAAACATTTTGAGCATGAGTAACCCATATCTTCGTTGCTCCATAGATCTATCAATTCCCTTTGAATCCCTCAGCAGATTTACCTGGTGTAAGGCAGTATGAATAGAAGTAATGAGGGTGGAGATGATCTTCTTGCCAGGGGACATCTTATTATTCCTGGACCTGGATCAGAATATAAATTTGAGGGATTTGAATGGAGTATGATTTGCTAAGAAAAAGGAGAAGGATAATCAAATAGAGTACTAAAAAGGGTGTGAGAAATCAGGGGAACATGATGATGATAAAAAGAGAACCAAGTTGTAATTGATGAAGAAAGCAAACTGATGAACAGATGAACAAAAGCAGGGAGCAATCTTGACTCTGAATTTGATCTCCCATAACATGTTATAAGTGTAATTGATGATTGGAAACTGTAATGTAATAATTAAACAAACATCATAGCCAAAACCGAAAATTACAGCCATTAAAAAAACAGAGGTTGTCTATTTCATCTGAGCTGTCCATTTTTTAATATATTATTGAGTAAACGTATATACAAAATTAATCTCAGCTCATCTGATCATGACAGCATAAAATACATTTATCGTAAGTTTGATCGGAGGTAAATACAAGTAGTCGGAAGAGTCATCGTTGACCATTATATTTATTGTTGTATCAATACTAGATTAGATCAACATAAATTCATTAAGTTTCAGTACTTCTAAATTTCAGTAAAATTGTTAAAATTCAATAGATCAATATACCAATGCATCTTGGATCGTGATCTAACAAAATTTCTCTATCAAAACATACTAGGCATGTTAGTCTTGTATTGATGAGAAGTAAACGACTCAAGCACCCGGAAAAAAGAAGAAGATGAAGGAGTTGTTCCAATATGGAGACAAATCTTTTCGTCATCCCACTCTCTTTTCCAATGAAGACAAATGTGAACGTATGCGATGTTTCTGTCTCACTCGGATCATTTTAAATTCCTCGGGTACCCTAATTTCTTCCTTGCTCTTGATAAACAAACTTCAAGGCCTTTGCGAGCATGGAAAAGGTAAATGTACCTTGAAAATGGATCAAAGTAAACTATCAAATGAGCACGTGAAGAAAGCTGGTTTTTGCTGCATAATTAATGACAAGTTGCTGTTTACACGCCAATCCAAGCTCCAAACAAATTAAAACTCGGTTTGTTAGCTTCACTTTGTAGAATCAAATGGATTGAGAGCACTAATTTAGTCATGAGCATGAGGAAAAGATAATTTAGTAGTACTGAATAATATAATACTGTAATATGCGATGTGCACATTGCAAATGCAGAGGGAAGCGTCATGATTGACAAGTATTTTAGTTCTGCGTTAATGGCGGACTAAGAACAATATGACTTTATCAAATTTCGGTGTTTCTTCTGTCAGTGACGTTGCTGGAGATCAATATATAAAACAAACTATGTACTGTATCTTGGGTCACCGGAAACAATTTCTTCGTATAATAACTAGAGTAGAAAAACTTTAAACACCAGCGCCAATATATTGGCTATGTGTTGATAATGTAATATGCAAACAGGTTGCAAAAGCAAAGATAAAAAAATTTAATGTTCTGATGCTAGTTAGGTACCGATTCATGGTCCTTTATTTGGTATGAATATTACTGCCAAATGTTTTTTGTAATGTTTTGCCAAATTTGATTGAATTGAATATGAACTGTTCATTCACTCTGGGAATGATGCAAGCATTGCAGCTGGAAATCTAACTTAGTACTCCCAGTGACTGTGAGTGAGCTAGCTGTTTACCAAACATTCCACATATGAAGAGGTTCTCAATCAAACGAAAAATTCAAATTAAGGCATCAATGGTAGCACAATCTCTTTTCAAAAAAAAAAAAAAAAGAAGAAAGTAGCACAATCCTAGTAACATATGGAGGAATTCAAACTTAAAAACTTCATTTGTTCATTAACAAAAATGAGATCAAAGAATACTAGTTCACTAAAGTAGGTTTTTTTTTGGGACGGAAAGAATACCTCTTTGCTCCATGAAATATTTGTTCACCCGTGCTTTCTTTCTAATCTCGATTGACAAGTACCTCCATGGTACTTTTGATTGATCTCCATTGCTTTACTCTTTACACAGTCAACAGAAGACATACTCTTTGGATTTTCATTTCTGGTATATTCGGAAAACTAGTTAATCATTTCCGGACAGAGAGAATTTGCATGAAGCCAAACTTTTATGAGTTTTGTCAAACACATGGCATACGTGATATCCTAATCCCTTCTTTCCCACATCTTCACTGCTCTCGGCTTTTGCATATTTTCCTAAATGCATATTTTCCTAAATCCACAAACATAGATCTCGACTGGAAAAAAATCAAAGAGAAAGGAAAAAATGGAGAATAATTGATCGATTTCTCTAAAGTAACAAAAGATGAGACATAAATCGTGGACTACAGCACCTATGGGAAAAAGGGGTGCAATACGAAGATTATAGAAACCAAACGCCAGGATCGATATAAAGAGGGGCAAAAATCATGATAAGACATGTTACAGGCTCTTCGATAATACGGGTTCCTCGGAAAATTGTCTGATCATCGAGACATCAATGGGCCACAGAGGAGTACTCAAAAGCTGAATAACGTTTCAAATTTCTTTTACCAAATCATATCAGCGCCCATGGCTCTTTATTGAATTTTCAGGACGAAGAAACCGATGGTTCCTGATTCCGATTGACAGAGGCTTTTGGATGCATATTACCAGAGTGGCTACATTGAACATTGTTATTACATTCATGAATTTCTTTGCTAGCTTTTTAGAAACTTTTTGAACGCTGACAAGCCAATGACTTACATGATGTGAACAAATTACATACAGTTCAAATGGGACTAAGGGTATGAAAAACACTTCAGAAATGGAAACAGAATGTTTACTTTTTAGCCTAATTCCTAGTATCCATGAACAAAACTAAGTGTGGATTCTCATATAACAACCATTTAAAGTTAAAGGAGTGGGTAGCAGTTCAATGAAATTGGGAGAAATACATAACAGTTCCGGATCAGTGGTTCCAACGAATACAAGCATAAAAAGAGAAATACATAACTGTAGAATACAAGCATGAAATTCTACAGAAAGAGCAGTGGCAGTGGACAGAAATCGCCACAGTCTCTTCTTCAAAATCAAGCATAAAAAGATGCAGAAAAACCAATCTCCTGGGGATTGAATAATGAAATTCATATATGAAAATAATAAAGAGAAAGTAACTTTCTAAACTTAGTTTTCAGCATTGAACTGAGAAGATGTAACAGCGCCAACACTAGAGTCTACTTTTAAAAGCCAAACCAAGAAACAGGGTTTATAGATTAAACTTCCTCAAACTTTCCCCAATTGATAACATAACAAGAGGAGCAAAATGGATGGATGTTGTTCGAGGATTTTGATTCTGATCCCGAGTGAACTTCAAGGGGTTTCTTCAGAGCAGAATCTGAAGATAAAATGCTTTTGTCAACCTGTAAATCTTCAGAATGCGACACGCAACTGAATATGAAAAAGGAATCGCCAAAGATTGCTGGCCATCCTGGAGAGAATAGAGGATAGTTTTAATCAGGTCCGTGTTTTCTCCATTTCGAAGTTTTGGTCCCATGTGGTTCATCCAAGTTCAAAAGTAAATTCAGACGAGGGGGCTTATTCTTCAGAGTGCTAACAATTAACTTAAAGCTAGTATTAACTTCCAACTATACCGAGCAGTGAAACTGCACTAATAATCATCTTAACATACACATATGCAGTCAAATTTATTTGATGAGATATGATTATTAGCACCAAAAGCCGAAAAATGAATAAATAAATGGCAGAAATGAATTTCTGAAATTAAACTACTCTTTAAAAGGAAATTCAACATTAGTTCAATGATATTGAGATAAAATACCAACAGGTGCAATTCAATCAATGGAATCAACACGATAAACCAACCAAAGCATTAAATTTATCAGTACAGAAATAGCAGCAGGGAGTGAACTGCAACCAGCATTGTGGCTTCTACCAATTCCAGCACAAAGAGGTGCAGAATCAATAGTGTCAAATAATGATCCTCAGATCTGAGTTTCTAATACCCAGCTGTACTTCCTCAATCTTCTTCATCAAGATCATCTGAAAGATTCGGTTCCATCAAACTCATCTGACTCAAATTCAAAAATATCATCGGATTCATCAAGATCATCCTGAAAAATGAGCTTTAGATCTGAATTTCCACATTCCAACTGTACTTTTCCAATCTTTCTCACCTGCTCTACTATAGTTTCAGAACAATAAATCACCTTGATCATTTGAAGTGTTGGAATGTTTTCGAAACAAGAAGGCATCTCTTCCAATCCTTCACATAATTCCAATTCTAACTTCTCAAGACACTCGAATTGATCATCAGAAACACTCCATGAGCAAAGTTTTGGGGAACTCCTCTGATTCCATTGTCCATGTGTCCCCTTCAAAGCTTACCGCCCCTAATTTGAGGACTTCAAGGTTTGGAAGTTTACCAATGCTTGAAAGACTAATCTCAGACAAATGAAAGCTTGTCAAATCCAATTTCTTCAGATTTTCCGGCAAACTAAACTCAAACTGAAAAGGTCTAAGTTCGTCGGCAAAAATATGAAGTGATTTCAGTTGAGCTAAAATGTTAGGAACTACAATCTTGACAAGAGTTCCTCCATGATTATCCAATCCGCTGAGTTTGCATTTCAGCCTACGAATGTGTCGAAACTTTTTTGATCACACCTTCCATGCTATCCGTACAAGAAAAAATCACTCCAGAAATTCTATCCAGCTCATCTAAATCAGATAAGTTGTCAAAATTTTCCACAGGCAAAACAGCAAAAGAATCTCCCTTTCCGTAAAAATGCTTTAATTTCTGTAGATTCCAAAAACTGTCAGGCAATAAAATGTCTTTTTCTGTCCATTGAACTAGGATGAAAGTTTCCAAACTAGAAAGATTACCTATTGATGGTGGGATCTCCGATATGTTGCCTCCAATTGCTAGGTAAGCCAAATGAACAAGTAGACCAATTTCACTAGGGATCCCGTGTGATAGACAAATTTTCTCCAAATCCAACACTCTTAGAAGTCTGCTGGTTTCCATTATGAATGAGATATCTTGCTTTACTATTTCGTTCTTCGTATTATTGAAAAGAAGGGAACGAATACGAGAACAATACAGTTTGGACTTTATAAAATGTTCCACACGAGAGTGAATGCATAGCCTCCGTGCATATCGTGGTTCATTAAACTCTGACAACTCGTTATATCCTCCTTCTAAGAACTGGAAAAGATGTTCATCTTTGGCTTTCTGCAAACAAAATTCATAGATCAGGTCATGAATGCGACATGATTTAACTCTTCCATCGGAATTTTGTTGGGAAACCAAAAGTAAGCTTCTGCCGATTAATTCTTTTAGATACTCTTCAGCTACATCTGATGGGCGCATCATCTCCACTCTCCAAATGAACCCTTCGGCCATCCATAAATGCAGCAATCTTCTGACTGAGACCAGTTCATCCTCTTGAAATGCTGCGAGATAGAGAAAGCAAGGCTTCAAATGTTCTGGCAGATTTCTGTAACTCAACTCCAATGTGTCCCTGCAGCGCTTCGGTAAGTCACCTGAACTTAAAGTGTCAAGAATTCCCATCCAATCATCTGGCTTTGTGGATTTTAAGACCCCAGCTACAATGACAATTGTGAGAGGTAATCCACAGCAAACATCAGCAATTTTCATCCCAAGATCACCTAATTCGACCGGCCAACCATTTTCACCGAATAACTGCCTTTGCAATAATTCTAGGCTGTCATCCTTATTAAGCTCTTTGAGTTCATGTGGTTCATGAGCAACATCATGACAGTGACTTGTTAACAATATTCTACTTCCCACAGAATCATCAGGGAAACATTGTAGCAAACGCTGCCATACTTCACCTTCCCAAATATCATCCAAAAGGATGAGATATGACCTGCGCTTCAAAATCTGCCTCAGCTGGTGTGATACATCATCAACGGTCATCTCAGGAGTAATCTTAGAATGTTTGTCCGGGGAAACCTGTTTCAAGAGGTCGATCAGCACTCTCATTTTGTCAAATGTCTGAGAAACTGTAGTGAATGCACAAGCACAAAAATTGTACGAGACAGATGGATCGTTATAAACTTTTTCAGCCAAAGTGGTCTTGCCTACTCCAGGCATACCCACGATGGTAACTATCTGCAGTTTCTTCGATCCCCTGATGAGCCGATTAGTGATTGAGTTTGCCTCCTTGTGAAAGCCTACAATTTCCTTTGACATTGAGGGAGTTGTTGATTTCATACGGCTGTGAGTCTCGGCTACTTTCTTCACTTTGATTTCTGGCCCGTTGATGACTTTGATTTCCGACTCAATATTGCTGATGTCTTCCATGATAGTGTCAAACGATGCTGATAGAGAATCTGGAAGATCGCCAACAATGGTGTAGTCGATGAGGTCCTCTACTTTGTATGCCACCTCAAAAGCACGATCCAAAGAGTTTGGAGTTCCTCCTTATCATGGCGCAACTCCACAATGTCTCTCAAGAAAGATCTCACGGGGACGAGTTCCTCTCTAATACTTTGAGCTTGACTCTTGGCAGATTGTTCAGCATTGCTATTCATATGCTCCATCATTTTTCCTAATAAAAAGTCAAAAAAGCCCAATTGACTAAACATTGATACTTGTAAATCTTTATGACCAAGTTTCGCCAACACGTTCGTGATTGCTTCTAACAAATCATGAAGCATACTGAGGTCTAATTCTGTATCTTCCTGGCCCATTAAGAAAATAAAGACTCCTGCATCACATACCACTGTAACAATGTCTCCCTTGATTTTGATTTTGTCAAGCTGCTGCTCCTTGAGAATCACTTTTCTCAAGGATCTGAGCCCTTCGTATAGCTTTTGGAGTTGATCCAGCAGAGCAACACCAGCACAGATATTATCGGATGACAACATGTCCCATGGCATAGTATGAGAGAATCAATGAAATTCTTTGTTGATGTAAGGGCTTTGTCATCCGTTCCTTGATCAGTGGGAGCATCAAGTAACCGTCCTGCCTGCTTCAAGCTATTCAGGGCGTCAATGTAAGCCTCACAGCTTTCTGGATGAATAGGCTTGATAGAGTCCACCAATGTTTCAATCCCCGACAATAGTTCTTCAAGATTTTCATTATCACAGTTATAAGATGCAAATGTGAGGAGATATCCAGCACAGATAGCAACATCTCTGACATGAGACGACAAATGTTCTTCGAGTTCATTGTTACCTTGTGTCTGTGTGACAAAAAGGATGAGACTTTTCAGGAATGACATCTGCTCTCCCAAGGTATTCATGGCATCTAGCAGAGTAGTAGGGACGGAAGATTTAGCTTCAACTTTGGGGAATTCCACGAGATTCTCTAGGAAGGAGTCCATGATTTCCAAGATTTCATCTTTCCTGAGTAAAGTTGACTGCGCCGGGGTATTCAAGAGAGTACCGTACCACTCACCAAATTCCTCCAAGATAGAATCCAGGCCTTCTTGAACGTCGTCAATGGGATCTTCATAACCAAGGCAATGACGACGAATACTATTTGCATGCTTTGCAAGTTTGCCAACAGCTTCCCGAACCTTTATCAAGAAAGACATGAGATTTGCATCATTTCCCAACTTTCTGGCAGAAAGAACAAACAGTTTGACTGTCCTTAACCAATATCTTGCTCGCTTCAAAGATCTACGCTCCCTGGAGCTATCAACTCCCTTCAGTTGCTCCAGCAGATCTAGCTGCCGAAAGGCAGAATGAATGGAAGTAAGGATGGTAGAGACCATCTTCTTGTTGGTGGACATCTTTTTTAGTTTTTGTTCTGAATCGTGAACAGAATCTGAAGGATTTGAAAGGCTTCTAGTTGATGAAGAAGGTAAAAATCAGGGGAGAATATTCAAATACAGGTCTAAAAAGGTGTAAGAGTTCAGGGACGATACGGATAATTATTACAAGTGAACAAAGTTGATGAAAAAGGTAAGAAAATCAGTGGAGAATATTGATGTAAAGTTCTAAAGGGGATGTAAGAGATGAGGAGAGATACTGAAGGTTGGAGGCAAAGGCAAAGATGAAGATGAGATGAACTAAAAAAAGTCTAAAACAGACTAGCACACAGAGCAATTGGACTGTGAATTTGATCTCTCTCTTAACTTCCTTTTGATATAGTTGGTGATGTAAAACAGTAAACCAATCTTTGTCAAAACCCAACTCACACTATTTTTTTTTTTTTTCAAAAAGGAAATGAGCTTTCCATCGTTTAATATAATAAACTAACGCATAAACACATTAGATGATGTGATCATGACAGCATAAAATAAATTTAAGATTGATGATTGATCGGAAGAAAACAAATCTGAAAAACCAAAAACTGATATTAAAAAAGATTTTTTAAAAAAAAATAAAGAAAAAGATAAAATTGCACAAACGTGAAGACAAATCTTCATCGTCCCAAATTTTTATTTCTTGTTTACTTTTCTCTGGAAATGAAAATAGAAATACTACAACACTTGTGAGCATGCGAGTAAGGTCATTATATACCTTGAACATGGAATTAAAGAGGAAAGTTGTGAGCATGCGCAGAAAGTTGGTTTTGCTGCAATTAAGGATTTCTTTGTGCTTAATCTTTGGTTTGGCTGCATTTTTATGGAGAAAGTGGCAACAAACACACATATCCAAGTTCCAAACAGATTAAGATATCAAGAGTTTGTCTGCTCCACTTTTGACTTCATTATTTTACACTCTTTTTGCCGCAAAATGATTGTTGTCATTTTTGTTATAGTTAGTACAATAAACATGTGACGGAGGAAGTGTAATGTAATCACTCTGTCCTTAAAATATACTATTTCATATTGAGTTTTGAGATTTATATTAATTCTACTACGAATTTGAAAACTCAATGTGGACTATTTTTTTTTTTTTGGGGACAGAGGGAGTATTAGAAGCATGTGCAGAGAATTTAGTAAAGTACTGTATAATGTGCAAACAGGTCAAATATACAGAGGATACACCAATCAATGTTCAGATGCTTCTTAGGGATGGATCCAACTAAAGCAGCATCTTATTTCATCTGATACACTAATTACTTCTGTTTGATTCTTCCGGGAAAAAAAAATTAAAAAGAGAGCTTAATCAATTCATGATCCTTAATTTTGTATAAGTATTGAGTTCATCGACAATTGCTGCTATATATGATTAATTTGCATATTAGTTCTCTGTATGGATTATACGTCTTTACCAAAAGCCTAATACTTCATAACTGATAACGAGAGGAATAACTACCAAACATTAATCATATGCAGGGTTTTTCAGGAGGAATACCTTCCAAAATTTGATGCTGCTCAAAACTATCACTGAATTCCATAAACGCTGATGAAGACAGAGCATCACCGTCCTGGTTAAACATCATTGATCAATACAAAACTTGAGACTTTATTCTACTGATCTTGTGAGAAAGTATAGACTCTAAACAAAGAATGAGAATCTTACCTTTATGGCTTTCACCTGAACCTTTGTTTTCCATTCCGTCGAACCTCAGTGATTGCAGTCCACACCAGGGATGTCGATTTCAATGAATCTGCATTGCTTTCCAGTTACCATAATGAACACTTCAATGCCAAGTGCCAACTTTTTGAGACCCTTCCGTTTTATCACGTTGAGGAATTTTGTCAAACACATGACATACACTCGGGCTTTCAAATGATTTAAAGTATAAACATGCTAAAAAATTGCTGATCATCACTCAACCAAGATAGCTAACTCAACAGTTTAATTCCTAATTGTGTTCAAATTTCTTTCACCAATCCTAATTAGGTTAGTCTAATTCCGAACGAATTTATTTTGCTGAATGGAATTTTATGGAATGATACCGGGAGCGGGAAGCACATGGAAGTCTAATTCTCTTTTCGTATGTTGTCCGGGTAAACGAGCAAGTCAATTTCCAGGAAGTTTCGAACGTAATAAAATGTATCTCAAATTTGTTATGTTCTTCATGCAAAAACAGTTATGTTCTCTCAACGTTTTGCACTCTTTAATGACTTTTTTTTGCCAATATTCGTAACTTTTAATTTTAAGAATGTAGTTCCAACATTTGAAATTCGTAATCAATTTGTTCTCATAAACCACAATCACATCAATTTTTTTACTTTAAAATGTGATATAATTCTCTTCATTTCATCTTAAGTTATCACATTGGTGGATATTTTTTTGGGGTGAAGTTATGGCCGTCTCTTGACTCGTTGATTTGTCCATTGCAAATAGAGCTGAAAGAGTTATTATTGACAAATGAAGGCAATTTGATGAAGAGATGAATTAAAACAGAGAGTAAATGCGACTCTGAATTTGATCTTCCATAACTTTGTTAAGTAATGGATAATTGAAAACTGTAAATCGATGACTAAACAAACAACATCGCCAAAACTTAAATTGGTCATTAAAAATATAGAATTTGTCTTTTTTCATCTGAGTTGTCCATCCTTTAATATATAATTGAGTATGTAACGTATATACACGAATCATCTCAGTTCATCGGATCATCACAATATAAAATACATTTATCTTAAGATTAACCAGACGTAAATGTATCTAATAGAAATGGAGTCAAAAGAGTCATCATAACGAATTCTATTTATTTCAATATTAACAATAGACTAGATTAACATGACTTACTCCCTCTATTTTAAAATAATTGACATCCTACACTTTTCACATAATTTAAGAAACTCTTAAATATGGTAATAAAATTACTTGAATATCCTCAACAAACCTAACTATAAAAATATCCACCAACATTATTAATTCTTTTGAGGGTAATTTTAAAAATTTTGAACAAAAAGTGCATTGAAATATGAGAACGATGCTTATTTTGAAATTTTCTATTTTGCTAAAACGACACTTATTTTAAAACCCAGAGAGTATTAAATTTCACTATTTCTAGATTTTAATAAAATTGTTAGAAATTAATACATCAAATATCAATGCATCTTAGATCGTAATCTAACAAATCTCGAAACATACTAGGCATTAGTCTTTTATAGATGAGAAGTAAACGATGGACGAACTCCAAAAAACATTAAAAAAAGAAAAAACCAAGAGAGAGGAACGAATTGTGCCAATATGGAGACTAATCTTTCGTCATCCCGCTCTTTTTTCAACGAAGATAAATGTGAACGCACGAGATTTTTTTGTATCCTTCAGATCATTTTAAACTCCTTGGATACCCTAATTTCTTTCTCTTTTTTTTGGACAAATAATTTCTTTCTTGTTCAAGATAAACAAACTTCAAGCCTTTTGCGTGCATGGAAAAGGTACCTTGAACATGGATCAACGTAAACTATCAATTGAGCAAGTGAAGAATGCTGGTTTTTGCTGCATAATTAATGACAAGTAGCTCTTTTACTCTTTATGCACCGATCCAAGCTCCAAACAAATCAAAACTTGGTTTGTCTAATTCACTTTGTAGAATCAAATGGATTGATGAGCCTAATATTTTATTTTATTTTTATTTTTAATTTCAAAAGAGGCATAAAAACCCAGATGTTACACTGTTATATTACGAGAGTAAGATACTTACACGATATCATGTCTAAGTTACGGAAAAACTCCTAATTATAGATTATCTTACACATGCATTCCCATCTCTTAATGGCCCTAAATTTTAGTTATGAGTATGTGGGAAAGATAATTTAGTAACAGTGGCGGAACCAGAAATCCTAAATAATAAGGCGAAATAATAATCTTTCATATAATAGTGACAAAATTATAATTTTTTTAAATTTTATACTAAAAAATTAAGTCCTCTTTTACTAAAAAACTTGGGAGAGAGGGGCGACTCTCCCTGTTGATCCCCCTGTCTCCGCCATTGTTTAGTAGTCCTGAATAATATGATACTATAATATGCGATATGCACATTGTAAATGCAGCTAGAAGAGTTATGATTGACAAGTATTTTAGTTTTGCGTTAATGGTGAACTAAGATCAATGTGATTTCATCAAATTCCGGTGTTTCTTCTAATAGTGACACGTTGCTGGAAATTAATAAAACTAATGATGCATGTATTTTGGGTAAAAAAGAAATGTTATTTTGGGTCACTGGAAACAAATTCTTCTTATAATAACTAGAGTAGAAAAAAGTCAAACACCAGCGCCAATATATTGGCTATGTGTGGATAATAGTGTCAAACCCCAAAATATGTCCTAAATAGAAGGAGTCGACTGAAATATAGCTTTCTGAGGGAGTAATCAGAAAAAATATTTATCGGAAATAGAATTTCCGTTTTACATGTACTGTTCATAAAACGGATTTTCAAATTCCGTCTTTTAAGAATTAGTTGTAATTAGTACTTTATAATTTGTTTGATTAACAAAAACGGAAACTTTTATTCCGTTTTTCACTTACCAATTTTTATCGAATTTGTCCTAGCATAATGGGAAATAAATTTTTATCAGAAGTAAAAAACGGAAATCTAAAATCCGTTTTAAGAAAGTATTTTGAACAAAAAACGGAATTTCGAAATCCGTTTTTAAACATGTATACAGAAAAAAAAAAATCAGAACAGGTTTGCAATTGCAAACCTGTTCAAACCTGTTGAAAAACAGTTACCATACAGCACCAAAACAACACCAACAGCAGCCTCAACTCAACATAACCCTTGAATTCACACATCAATTCAACAAAATATTGCAATTGTAACATGTTTAAATAAAAGACTACATCACAAAACGTCCATCAAAAGTAGATTATCAACAAAATGAAGCCATTACAATTCCTCCTCCTCTAGCAGTGGCTCGGGTTGGGCAGTGGATGGCGTGTAGCGATTGACTTTCTTTATTTTTCTACGCGGCCTTGCTAACGCCAAAAGTAGACTAGATTCCACATCCACATCCACATCCATATTTGTAGATTCACCTTCTTGGTTGGCTTCATCCTGATTCTGGGGGGTTGGAGTTTGAAACAAGTCGGCATTGAGTTCAAAATCAAATTCTGGTTCTCCTTCTTCCTCGATTTTCTGCCTAGCTCCTCCAATCCCACGATCATCTTGTGGTTCTTCTTCTTCCACGATTTTCTGCCTGCCTCCTCCAATCCCACGGTGAGGAATGTTTCGTTTGCGAACTTGGCCAACCGGTTGAGAAGGTTGTGGTTGAAGATCAACAAGTGATTGTGTGGGTTTCAAAATTGGCATCTCATGAGCTCCAAGGGATAAAGCACTCATAGAATGAGAAGTGAGTTCAAGAAGGATATTCATACAAACTAAATTTTGGCAGACATCTTCTGATTTCTTGTAGTCTTCTACTTTTTTGCAGATATCGCTCAAAGCATCAGCCTGAAAATTCATGTGAAAAGGAGCATAAATCAACCCACACTAAAATGAAAGATGAACTAACAACGTACAATTAATATGAAACTACTAAAAACACAAAAATCACCAAAATTTACTGAAAAACTTCTAGACCCATTCAAGGGGGATTGAAATGAATCTTGCACAAAACTGAAAAGATAAGGTTTCTAGACTTTTTTTTTTTTTTAATCTTGCACATAGAAAACAACAATATGGATCCACAAGCGCAACACCATTTCTATAGAATATACCACCATGTAGCACCAACAACAAAGTGCAGAACAGGTAAACTACAACACCCTAAATCATACATATAGTTAAGATGCCACAAACAAATCATACAAATCAGAGCACAATGAAGATGCGAATGCAGTTATTCTCAAGAAAAAAAGAAACCAGCCTTAAAAAAAAAGATTAGAGATAAAAAGAAAAATACTTACATAGAATTTTACACGATCCGAATGCTCACGATACCCTTCGTCCTGAAAGTTGTACTTATTGGGATCCTTGATAAATTTGATGGTATTAGTTTCATACCACGGGAGATAATCATCATTGGTTGAGGATTTACCACTCGAAGACCCAGCCACAATGGTGTCCGCTCTGTTGTTCCATTTTTTGATGTATTCACGATGATGAAACTCCCAATTGTTCTCAGCTCTTCCAGTCCTACCATACTTGTGCAACTTTTCCCATTCTTCGAAACCAGCGATCATTGGTTGTGGTGGGATCAAATGTTTCAAGCCAAATTATCGCATCACACGGTCAACTTTATGCGGTTCAACGATATCCCAGCAAATTAGCCAAGTGTTGGATTGCCAATGATCCTGACCCCGTGTACATCTTTCAGGTATCTACATTCCTTGGTAAGGTTGCCAAATAAATTGAAATAAAAAACAGAACATCAAGGCTGACAGAACATAATACAAAAGGAATGGAGACATTTTTCCAAAAGGAACAGAATACAAAAGAAAATGCTTTTTTTTTTCTTTTTTTTTTGTTGTCTAGGAGGGACAGTTCTGCTGCTGATTTGGGTTATGATACAATGTCTGAAAGAATGGCTTCTCCTTCAAAGAATCAAGAAACAGTATGTATGTATATGTATGAAGAAACAGAATCAAGGAAATCCCATTGGACTTCTTCATCCAGCTAGGACAAATGAATGATAACAATGTATGAACTGAAAGCCACATTAATTGCAACTGAAGGCAGGAAAGATGTTCAAAACTTTCAGACCATATTTCCAAATAAAGATGATGTGTTGCACAGAACCACACACACACATGAAATTTTAAGATAACAGAAAGAATGGAAGAAAAAGGAGGGAATGGCCTAATTAATTGTAAGCAAAGAAAAGTTGGAATATATACTTTGAGAGAGAGATAAACCAAAGCTACAATTTTGGAGGGAGCTGGTTGTTTGTCATTTGAAGATTTTTTGCTTATTTGCTTTATTATAACAGATTGTTTAGAAAAAAAAAAAAAAGAGGCAGCTTTCTTTGTGCATTGTAAAGCATCATATTAACTAAACCACATTTCTACGAAAATAGTGCAAAAGCCATATATTCATTAAGTCCAAATTCATTCAAAAAGAATTTAATCAAATATAAAATTAGAAACCCTTACATCTTCAGCCTTCCTAAGGCTCGCGAGTTGATCTCGTTGTGCTGGGAGACAGTGAGAGGCCACCTGCGAAAAATCCAATGAACACCTCCATCTTGAACCCAAGGCCAAGGTGTCATCGTCGTCTTCTGGATTTTTCCTCATGGGGC